CGTTAGCGTATTCGGTTCTCACGAAAAAGGCTTAACAAGTTTTGTGCACATAAGTTGATAGATCCGTTTCAAATGTTACGTGAGCATTATTCATGTGTTCATTTTTAGTAAACAGGGCCCCGCTGTTGTGTCACTTTTTGTCGAGTGAGTGAACTCAAATCCATCCGTGCACTCGTCTATAGATTGCATTTGTTGTTCCACACTCGCGCTCTCGCTTGCATTCATTCTTGTACAGTCAGCTAGGTAAAATACATTCGGAATAAAACCAGAGTTGCGACCTATCACAATCACGATCGACAAACAACTGATGGTAGTAACGTAGTAACGCTTGGTACATTCCTATCAATGTGCTTGTCGAAGCACTCTCCATGACCATCCATCAAGTTGACGAAAGAAGTTAAAAGCCACTGGTGAATGTCGTCTTCGGTGGTGATCCATCACCGATCTGGTCATTCCCGACAATCACGACACTCATCTGTGCTCGTTTTGAAGCAGTTGCTGCTTTGCTTGCTTATGTGAGTGTGTTGGTGAGTGAACCCAGGGTGTCGACTCAACAAAAAAAAAATTCACTGATATTCCCTGATTTTCAAGAAAATTAAAAAAAAAAATCCAGGGGCGGTGCCTACTCGGTTTTGGCAACACAACCACATCAGCTATAACTTTCCTCAGAATATATTAGTGCTTTATGGACAAGGACCTCTAACCCATGAAGAGTGGTCTGGTACAATTTCAAATTAAATAAAGCGTTCCATTCATTGTATAGAATGCAAAAAAAGACAGAAATCTCGTGTTGCCAAAAACGGGAAGGATCCACATTCTACCCTAGGGGCATAAATTCATCCAAATCTCCAAATTATCTTCATGGTGACCAGAAAATCTCGATTAGCAATTTTCCCGTTTTTCTCCCGAAGTTATGGAAATTATCGCGGTTTAGGTATTTTAATTAAGCACATAACTGAAAGCGATGAAGCCGAAGGAAAAATTGGTAATTTATAAGACAGCAGCACCTTTGCTGGATCTTGAATTTGGATCTGCGACAGGCCTCAGACCAACATTTGAAAAGGGCATGTTAGCTTTTGTGAGCAAAACTTGAATTCTTCCTTTCCTGTCAACACAATCTGGCAGGGGAAATTCTCCCGCCGAGAATTGCCTTCAAATTTTGCTCAGAATTATCTAGGACTTCTCCTCTAAATTCTTCTGAAAATTGCACGGAATTCTCATTACCATTCTCTAGAAATTTATTTCGAGATGCGTTTGGAATTATACTCGGACTATCCCTATAGACCTACGCAATTTTTACCCTCAAAATTCGCGTTACTTGCTATTTTTCAAGAATCGTGGAATCCTCTTCACTCTAGGGAGATCTAGTCAAAACTCTCCTAGAAGTTTTCCTAAAGCACCCTAGAAAATATTCTCTGAAATACCCTGATGTTATCTCTAGAATTCATTCTAAAATCTGCTCAAATTTGTTTTGGAAAAAAATCTAAAGTTCTCTTATTAGTTCTTCAAAGTGACTGTAGTTATCCTGAAAATCTAGACCAGTCCAAGGGTCTTGAAATCTCATTGTTTTCGAAGAGAGGACGAGGTATATTTTTCCAGTTTTGTCAACTAAATTCACCGGGAAAAGACTTCAAATTCCCGATTCACTGATCACTCCACATATAAAACACTTGTTTTTAATACCATTATATTTGTTTTGCTTTGAGCACATTTTGAGGCCCAGTTCCGTTAGAAAATTATTCCGAATAATATGCTTAACCAAAAGCTAATTCGCGGGTGGATTCCTCCGGTGGGAAATAGTAAAAACAACGCTTTCATCTCCAAAATTCTGTAAGTTAATTACATCTAAATTGCAATAGCAGTAAGATTACCATACTAAAACTTCACTGGGAAGCTAATTTTACGAGCTAACCAAGTTTACAATGAATACTTAGTACAGCCACTCTAAGCTGTCAAAGCAATGCTTGTCTACGTATCTTTGATTCATTATTCAATCATAAAATTGCTACTCCAAGCAATAAAAAAAAACATTATCCTAAATTTTCATTCAGTTGGTTCTCTGTAGCTGTTAAGAACACAATAAGGAACAATAAGGAACAAGAACTAGAAGTATTCAGACAAAAAAAAAATCATTATCTCCTCTTAAAGATGGGTTTAGGCAAGGCATAAGTCAATTGATCAACTCAGTTGAATTCAACTTACTTGAACGTGTAAACTATGCCATTTAACTGACTTGAATTGAAAAAAGTTGAACCAGCCTCAACTTTTTAAGCCAATTGAATTCAACTGAGTTGATCAATGACTTGCCTGGTTATGTACCACACACCAGCCAGCACGTCATTCTGGATTTGGAGTTAAAATTGGAGCAAACGAAGCGCAGTGAGACCAGCCAATTTCCTGCTAGCAGCACGCTTCGAAAAGTTGAAGCAACCTGTTTATGACTGAAATAAGTCGTATAGAAATTTCCTCAACCGATTTGCGACAAGTGTGCTAAGAGAGAACGAACAAGAAACAAATCAGCGAATTGCCCAAAACCCCAGCGTCGTCCCCGCTGTTTGAAAGTGGGACATAGCGTGGAACAGTGCTTTCAGAGCAAGTAATCGAATGAAGGCAAAACAGTGCAACCTAGGATGAAGGTAGTGATGATTGCAGCCAACGAAAGAGAGACGTCTTGAGGTCTGGTATACAAGAGGTGATCGACACTAATGAAGAAGGAATCATGAGATGTGATGCCATTGTCGGTCGACGATTGAAGCTGCTTAACCTCTTGCCTTGCGGCGAGTCTAATTAAGAGATCTGAACTTTCAAATTTGGTAGGGTTAGATAGCACAATAGGAAACCACAATCGTAGATTTTGGAGCTTAGATTCAAGGTCAACGGAATCACTCAAGGTTAACACAGACAAAACACGATATATCACTAAATGATAACTTTATGAACACTGGAAACTTAATTTCAGCACACAAATTAATTATTATTTTTTAAACTTTATTATAGAGATTTTTAGCCGAAGGCTAGTTCACTGCCCTGTGCGGCATAACAGTCCCATTAGCATTTTTGGCGATTATGAGTTATGCATTGGAATCGATTGTCAAGTACCATCACTTTACAATGTACACGATAAAAATCCTACTTTGTTCAGAAAATGTCGCGAAAAATAACAAAACTATTTTGTCCCATCCATAAGAGCCCATGAAGAAAAAAATCTTCAACAGCGTTTTTCTCAGCTTGCTGTTTTAACGAATGGGACAACTATGCTGAAAAGGGCAGTTCATCTCTTACATAAATTAAAAAATTTAAAGCAAAAAATGTTTAATTCGCTGACGAAAAATACACAGCAAAAGAAAAACACGTCAGCTTTCAGACGAGGCCTACTGCGATCTCCATAACGTTAAATACTTTTTATGTAGGAATAATAAATTTTTAGAAAATTAAATAAATCACTGAACATCTACGATCGATTTCTGAATACCGTATTGTTCTTATTTGATTCACACTGCAATTCTTTTAAAATTCTTAATTGCGTTCGCTGTGTTACCTACGGATTCCCAAAATAATTCTGCTGAAATAAACTCTCCGCAGTTTTCACTAATTATTCTCCTTAAATTCCTCAGTTGTTCCGTTAATTCCTTGAAATGCTCCTCATAATTCTATAGGAACTCTTCTTTGAGTTCTCTAAAAATGATAACAGGAATATCCGTGAAACTATTCCTTTGTAATTTACCTCAAAACTTCGTTGGAAATTTCCTTAGAACTCCTTTAGAATATTCCTTAGATTTCCATTGGAATTAAGCTCAGAATTGTCACCTAATTCGTTTCAGAATTCCATTTGAATTCTCCTTATTATTTAGACATTCTACTAACAAGTACCTAGAAATTATCCTTATAAATTTCTTAGAATTCTCAAAAATCTCTTGGAATTCTCTTTGCAATTAGCTTAGAATCCTCCTCCAAATTCTGCTGGATATTCCCTTTGAATCCTACTCAAAATTTCATTGGGATTCTACTCACCTGGAATCTGAAGGACATCGGAACTAACTTTTAAGGAATCCTCATTTTAAGTTTTCCTAACAATTCACTGCTTGGCATTTTCCTCTGAATTCCCTTGAAATTATCCCAAGAGTTCTTTGGAATTTCACTGTTACTGACGATAAATCCACTTCAAAATTATTATGTTAAATGAGTAAAAGCGAACAAAGAGGAAAATAAATTTGGTTGTATTATAAAATGTTTTGAAACTCATTAGGAAGTTCCTCGAAGAAAATAAAAATTTCCTGATAATTCCAGGTTTTCCAGGAGAAATAAAATTCCCTGGCGATTCCCGGTTTTGCAGGTTTTGTCAGGTAGTAGACACCTTGTTCTGAGAGGTAAAGTATCTAAAATTTGTTTATTGCTGCGGAATTTGGCCTGGAACTGCTCAGTGGATGATTTATGGTAGTGTCGGCAGAGCTAACTAAAACTTATTTTCCATGTCCGAAAATCCCTGTGTTATCTAATGACCGGTTTTCGAGCAGAACTCAGCCACGGTTGTCAAAATCTAACTTCTTGTATGTCAGAAATAACCACGCTCGGATAGCAGGGTTAATCAATAACTTTAACTCTACTGGGTGTTGAGTGTGGTCCGTTATCTAGTGTTAATTGTTCAGTCTGCGCAACCTCGGGTTGAAGACGGTGTCGTTAAAATCTTGATTCTTTCTTTTAGAATTGCCTTAATTCAGAGAAATTGTAGAAATGGTATTCATTAGCAATTTTGCGAGGAGCTAGTGGAAATTTCAGATGAATTATATAAGATCGAATGTCTTCTAAAAAGTCCAGATAACCAACAAGATTCAAAGAACTTCAGCAAGGATTAATACAATGGTTTACACATATCTACAAGCAAAGCATTAAATATCATGAAACTTTCTATGCAATAATTTCTAGGCTACTTCAAATCTACGACAACCGCCACCATTATGCATACCTATTTAAAATGATAAACACTCTTCAGAAATTAGACATTGAGATTTCAAGATACTCATTTACAACGTTTATTTCGAGACACACGCACACTAAGCTAAATTGAAGATTTATATCACAAATTAAATTACATTAATCATCAGATTCTATCAAATCAATCTTACAAACTACTGGACACACTACAAACTAAAATTATACACTGCACCAGGTGGATGGAATCGATCGCTCTATTCTGAAGACACACACACACACATAATTTACCTCACTCCGGTTTTTTAATCACGAACCTTTCGCCACCCGAAAGCCCACATAGTGCAGATAGATGCCGAAAATCAGCACCGAAAAACTCAGACCGACAAAAACCACCAAAACCGTACAGGTCCAGTCTGATTCGAAATGGGAAGATTTCCCACCCTCGGCATTAGCTTTCACCGCCCGGGTTTCCGAATATTCCTGCTGGAGTGTGGCGATGCGAATTATTTCCGAAAACCGATCCATCAACGGAACCGAGACGGGTGGTAGCCCCGTCGAGCTGCTTACCACATCCTCGAAAGGATCCGACATGCAGCTGCGCTGGAGTTGAAGTCGAGAGTTCGGAAGGATTTCACTCGGTCGGTCCAGTACCATTTCGTCCAGCAATAGTTCAAAGTTGCTCTTGGAGTGATCAATTGCGAATTCTTCCTCGGATTGCTCGTCTTCAAATTCATTCGGCGATCGCCGACCGATCGCTTCCCCGTCGATATTTCTCAGTCGGTTGAAGGACCGCCTTCGTTGGTCCTGACTTTTCCGTCGATGCTTGTCCCGTCGATTGGTGGAGAGCCGCTGCACAAAGGTACTCGTTTCGAGTTTCCTATTCACCATATTGGGATCGATCTTCTTGGAGGGAGTCTTGCTCACGATCTCACCATGGTTGTTGTTCAGGTCCTTGCGATCCCCGCTGAACACCATTACCATTGGCTTGGGATCACTTTTGCCGAAAACCGCCATTGAATTGATGTCGATCTTGCGGACTCGATCCGGAGTGCCCTCGTACGAGAATCCACCGTATGGATCACCATCACCGTCATCTGCACCCACCGCAACGTTAGGGGGACTGCTTCCTGCGCTGTCACTACTATTGTTTGCACTGCTCAAGCGGCGATTTGTGTCGAATCGGTTCATGATTTTCCGGAAGTGGAGGTGTTTCTGGGTTTTTCTTGTCTTGTCACTATTGTCGTTGGTGGTTGAGTTTCGTCTTGATGGTCGCGGTCGAAGTCGTCGGTCGTCCAGTCCGGTGCGTCCCAAGTCGGTCTCGTCGTCACAGTTTATTTTCGTGATTAGTGGATGCACAATCGGTAGCAGGTCACGTCTCTTAGGAGTCTTTGTGTGGAGGTGAAAGGTTGTGGAAGTTAGGCAAAGTGAATGCTTTTAGAATGGGGAGACCCGAGGTTAGGTGCGTCCAAGTCAAGTTAACGTGTCATGCAAAAGGAAATGCATAACAGGTGCATGTTAGTAATAACGCACACAAAGTAGGAGTTAACAAAGTGATTGCTGATACGGACAAATTAGGTGTGGAGCAGAGTCATATGCGGAGGTTTGCTTAAAATCAATGACCGGGTAAGGAAATCCGATTTTCCGGGGAACCAGAAGTCCATATGATTGCATATCGAATTGATCGGATTACATGCGAAGGTTCCAGCATTCCAAAAATTTACATGTTTCATGAGCTTTTTTAAAAAATATCAAAAAATGAACAAGGACTTTAATTACTAAAACAAAATTACTGTGTATATTTTCCCAAAAATACATTATATTTTTCTACAACTTTGTCTTAGAGGTCACTTTGATCAAAAGTGACTTTTTCGTGCTGCAATATATCAGCCATTTTTAGAAAAAAATGCCGATTTTTTGCAAAAATGCAAATGATTATCCATAAAAAAAAACAATTATGCAAAGTTTCATGCAATTCAGAGAGTCAAAATTTTTTTTTTTTTTTCGCTATTTGGCCTGGAACTGCTTTTTTACAACGCTCCGAACTTCTCAGGTGCAGTGTTAGGAAAAACTCAAAAACTCAAATCTCATGCATGAGTTTATGCGCCTATGAGTTTCGCCTTGCAAAATTCAACGTCGCAAAAATCACCGATGAGTTTTCATGTTCAAAAATGCATTGCTTTATATTTTGGCCTTATTCATTGTTATTACTATTGTTTGTACATCAGGGGTTGGAAAACTAACACAACATGCATAGGCATGATATCAATTGACGTTTGAGTGGTTTTTATGAGTTTAAAGCTGGAATGATTTTTAGGCGTTGTGAGTGTGAGTGCGTGAATATGCATGATAATCTCAAATGCGAACTTTGTTTGCCGCATTCGCACGCAAGTTTATTCTCGCAGGGAGACTCAATGAATTAGATTTGAGAATGATTTTCCGAACACTGCTCAGGTGAATGTGGTTTCTTCGGCAACCTTTACATTTGAACTGTATGTCAACCAGATGTTCTATTATCGGCAGCTTGAAAGCAGTCGCATTTTATAATGCGTACTATATTACAGTTAACCCATGCGTACCTAAGCTTTCTTGCCCAAAAATATTGGAATTGCTTTCATTTCGTCAATGTTCATGAATCAGCTTTCAGCAGGTCAGGAATTGACTATATTATTTTAAGAAAGTAGAAGAGTCTGTGCCTAAGGGCACGAACGGAAACCATGGGCATGACAGCAAACCGAAATCAAATTTTGAAAGCAACATCAAACTGAAGTTTCACAATTTTGTTTGTAGTACTTCTACGTGATGTTAACGATTTACATAGTTGAAGATGCTAAGCGTCAAATAACAGACATAAAGTGTTCATTTTTATACGATAGATGAGGAGATGAATGTACCCGATTAGTACCTTCCTCAAAGTTGTCCTTGCTCGCTTTCTACTCTCTATATACAATCTTCACACTGCCGTACTCTAACGGAACTATCAACTCTATACTTTCATCTCCTCATCTATCGTATAAAAATGACCACTTTATGTCTGTTATTTGACACTTAGCATCTTCAACTATCAAACTGAAATTTTAATTTGATTTCAGTTCACGCGATTGACAAATTTGATACTAAATTTTGATTTCATTTGCTCTTCAAAAATATGTTGTTGCAGTTTTGTTTTTATTGCCTTAGCAGAACATCAAATTGAACACTCTTTTTGTACTCAACAGGAAAAAATTACACCAAATTTAGTGTTCAGTTTGCTCTCACTAAGAGCTTGTTTGAATTGCTTCATTCTAAGGCTTTGAACCATTTGGTGGATTATTTTAACTTTTGGTTAAAATTTGACAGATGGAAAGTTATCGATTAACCCTGCTATCCGAGCGTAGTTACTTCTGACAGACAAGAAGTTAAATTTTGACAACTCTGGCTGGTTTCTTCTTGAAAACCGGTCGATCGACAGCACAGGGATTTTCGAACATAGAGAATAACTTTCGAAATGTCACTTTTAACCACGAGTTAAATTTAACTTGGCAAATGGTTCACAGTCTAAGGCTGTGTTACATTTGGTGAATTTTCGCTTAAATGTTACAGATGGAAATTTTTTTCGGTGTTCGGCGGTGCAGCTACACCGCAAAATCGAAAATGATATTAGTCCTTTTCACTCGAAAGTAGGCTGTGCCCATGAACAAATGTCACGTTCGTTTTTTCCGCTGTATTTTTTTTTTCTCGATGGTTGGCTGCTTATTTGGTAAAAACGTCTTTAGTCAAAACCCCGCTAGGACCAAATTTCCAACAAATGCTGAAGCCACAACAGTTGATCAAGCACTTCGGCTCTGAACCATTTGGTGGATTATTTTAGCTTTTGGTTAAAATTTGACAGATGGAAAGTTATCGATTAACTCTGTTATCCGAGCGTGGTTACTTCTGACAGACAAGAAGTTAAATTTTGACAACCTTGGCTAAGTTCTTCTCGAAAACCGGTCGATCGACAGCACAGGAATTTTCGAACATAGAAAATAACTTTCGAAATGTCACTTTTAACCACGAGTTAAATTTAACTCGGCAAATGGTTCACAGTCTAAGGCTGTGTTCCATTTGGTGAATTTTCACTTAAATGTTACAGATGAAAAATTTTCAAATAAACCTGCTATTGTACCAAACTTATTTCTGACAGACCAGAAATTAATTTTGACAAACGCCTTCTCGAGGGAGGGATTTTCGAAAATTTAAGTGAAAATTCACCAAATGGAAAACAGCCTAAGATGTGTTCCTTTGATTACAAAAACAGTCCTGTTCTCCTTGTTTGAAGTAGTTCGGACTAGACTTCGATGGTAGATCTTAATGCCAGTAACACACTATTAAAATATAATCTACCAACCGTTACTAGAGTATCGTTTGTTACTGTTAAAAATATAACAATATATCATGCCATTTTAAAGTAATTTCTCAACAAGTCAATTGGGTTCTTTAAGGGTATTGAGGTAAATGCATATTCGTAATGTATGTATGTATGTATGTAAGGTAGCCACCATCCCTTCGAAGATCTTGTCTTGTATGCAGCTCCACTTAATAGCAAGATCAATTTGAGCTACCGATCTGAATTCACAATATCGCTGTATGAAGGGCCAAAAACGGTGGGGTGGACCCGTAAGCAGAGACACTTACGCGAAATCCACGGGAATTTAAGAATCTCCTTCCAACGATACGATCCAACAAATCGAATAACGCAATTCGCAATACTTATTAAGCTTCCTACAGGATGGTTTGTTAAGAAGGGCGCGTCAATCTCCATGAAACTGTTGGAGTAGAATTCACACCACCACAATCGAATCGGTAGGATAAAGAAAATGATAGTGTTTATTCCCTCCTAGACTCCGGTTGTCATACCACTCCAATCGTCCAGTTTCAGGTCAAATGATACCCTGATGCTCCCTCCCAACCCAGTATTTATTTATATATATAGTAAACATATGTAATGGAGAAATGAAATATATCAGAACATTAAAATACGTAATAATGAAAATACATTTACATGAATAAAAAAACTGGTATTCCGCAATGAAAATAATAATTATTTTACATACAATATGATGCAGCTCTATGTCTCCTCAGCTCCCAATAAGGAAGATGTAACCCTGAAATTTCCAACAAAAGACACAGAAAAGGAGATTTTGTTAGTAAGTTGGGTTCGTTGGATCAGGATTCACCTTGATAAGTGATGCGACCATGGTTTTAAATGAATCAGTGTTATCATGCATTATACTTGGATTTGCCCGAAGCCAAAACCAAATGGTGTATCATTGTGTCACTACACGGTGATAAGAAAGTGATACTCAGAATAAGAGCCGTGATTACCGTACAAATCAAATGGGAATCACTTCACCGTGACGACAAGTGACAACTTTTCACCGTGATGTGACATCCGCAATAAGCCCCATTATAATACAAATCTGAAGACGTTCCATCATCGAAATGCTGAAAATGAACTTAGAGCATGAGCATGAGCAAAATTGATCGCCCGCGACTGCCAACACCAAAGAGCTGAAAACCAATTCAAATCAACAGACAAAACCAGGGTGAAAGCTGTAAGAGCGAATCATTACAGTATAAATCTAGTGATGTTCCGTCATCAAAGAGCTGGAACAAAACTCAAATAATTTAAATCAATAGATCCAGTCTGAATGAAGGCTGCAAAAAGAGAATAATTATACAGCAATGACCCCATTTTGTCAGCTAGCAAAGTATTTGTATCTTAAACATTCATCTTGAAGGAGGAAGGTATGAAATTACAATTATGTATAATTATTGAAAAATAACAGTCTGATGCGCGGAGAGATTGACAGGATCGGGTCATAACTGTAATGTGAATTTTAGGAAGATTTATCATCATCAAACTATTCTTGAATTGACCTGGAAGAATGCTTGTGAATAATTGTTATACAGATAAATTAAATTGATAAACTAAATGGTTCAAACAACAACTCCAGCCTGTAAAAAAGCTGAAAATAGGGAATCTTTACAATGTGGATCCCCGACGGTCTTCTACTCAGTAAGCAAAAGCGGCAGCCACCAGGCTAGTCGATCTGCTCAATTTAAATATTGAAACCTTATTTATGAAGTTCTTAAGAATACCAATTGAAACACAATGTAAACAAATAAAAGTTAAGAGTCTCATCCGAATCAAATGATTCCAAACGATACGCATTCATAGAAATTAAGTTTAAATAGACAAAAGTAGAAAAATGGAACAATCTCACCAAATCAGTCCAACTGAATCCCTTGCAAGCAGCTATGTCACGCTTGGTGTAGTAGCTCCGATCATAGACCCGCCCTACGGGGATCAATCCTCTGGTCGAATGTAATCGATTGCTCCATGACGCGAACACGAAGCGACCGCT